CTACGCCGAAGCTACAAAGTTCGATGTAAAAGAGAAAACGTGTCAGTGGTATGAGTCTGTTCCATGACAGACAAGACATTTGGACATGCATTTGAAATCATTTCACGGATGCACATGAACGAAGCGGTATAGAACCGTTAATTCTTTAAGTTTTAAAGGGAACAACACTTGCGTAAACAATCATGTATCCCTGGGTACTGGGTTTCACATGAACTGGTGGTACCGAAAGCAGAGAAGAAGTGAGACCGCGGAATGTATGTGGAGGAGAACGACCCGTGTTCCCTTTACGTTTTCCTTATCTGTTCCATATGGAAGAAAGGGACTAAGTAGTGAAACGGCGGATTATCAATATCTTCAAGAACAAGCTTGAGTGAGAATTTGAGGGCCGGTGTAAAAGTTCTATGATTTGAGTTATCAAATGTTCACTATAAATCTGATATTCGGCTTCTTCTCATTAGGATCCTCTTTAAGATGTCACTGTTCTTGCACGTTTTCGGTTATAAACCAATTAGTTCCCATATCTTCATGACATTCTCTTTTCAATCCGTCGGCCACCTTTGCTCTCACTGTCTCTTGTATAACCACAAACCTTGTTCACGTAATCTATATAATATTGTAGCTCTAACTCTTCCATAATACACTGTGACTGTTTGCAACAATCTACCTTTCGTTTTCTGCTTGCTGTATTTGTCTAAGCGCTTGTACCTGAACTTGGTCCCTCAAACCATCCTTCGTCATTCTACCTTGACTGTGTCTCCATGCTTCTGTCTCTGTATCTCTATTCTAGTTGCTGATTGGCCCCCCACTCGAAATAAATTTTGATCTCTACTGTAAACCCGGGTCTTTGCCGTTTTTCAACATGCATGGGATTTTCTACATGCCTTAGACGAACATCGGCGTGTGCATTCTATAGCGGGATTTCCCATATTTGGAGGTATGCTATCATTTACTTGATCGATTCGTCCCCAGTTATAGTAGATAACCCACTGGCAGTTACCCAACCACATACATTCCCATCATGAACACTGCATAGCGTCCAAAAGCGCATTGTCACCAAAGGTCCTCCAACATCAGCTAGTTCTCGCTGGATATTATCGAAACGACTATCTGTCGCCAAAGTAGTGCGAGAACGTATGCTTGACTAAGCGAAAATTTCCTGTGGAGATGTCATTATGCCTCTCCATTCCATATGGTATGAAATACAAAGGTGGTGGTGGATTATGCATACTACTTACTGAATACGTTTACTAGGCACAACTTTTGGGTTACAACACGGCAACGGTTTTCTGAATGGCGATATAACAAAACATTACCCAGTTCCACACAAAAGCCTTATCCTGAAATTAGTGTGGCAAGTGCATTTTCTCAAAGTACAATTAGTTAGGAGCGCCTCTCTCTATATACTTTGCTGCTGGCCAGGAACGTGGCCTACTATAGGACGCTTCCAATATATCGGCATCACTGTCGACGGCTCTAAATTTATCATTGTTGTCTATCTATTACCACGTCCGTTCAGGAGTCTTCGCCGTTTTGGAGTTCTTGACTACCACAAATGTGAAGATTCACCAGGATGTTCGGGTATCTTGCGATCACTTATCAAAACCTTTAAGAAAAGGCAGTGCTCGTAAGAAGCAAACTCAGCATTACAGGTATCCAAGGAAACGTTCTTCAAAGTTCCCATGCTCGCATACCCAAGCAATACTGATATCGTAACAATCTATTATGAGTAGTTTCAATATATTGCATATAGTTGAAATAACAGTTTTCATTTTATTATCCTAAGTTCTGGCAGGACAATACAGAAGATTTGGCGCTATCTACTGATGAATGAACCGTTTTGGCACATTTTGAAACTTAGACGCTTTATAAATAACTTGAATGGGCCGTTCAGTATATATATCGAAAATATCACAACCGAATTCATCAGCGTGCATATCACCCACATAATCGAAATCATCATTCTAAACCTCAGCGTCAAAAAGAACATCAGCATCATCAACATCATCATTAGTAACATTAACCAGGATTTCATCACCGTCAAAATAACTATCATTAACATCAAAATTTCAGCACCATCAACATCATCTTCATCATCATCATCAACAACATCATCATCATAGTCATCAACATCATCATCATCTGCATCAAAACCATCATCATCACCATCAGCAACATCAACATCATCACAATATCAACATCATCATCATCATCATCATCATCATCATCATCATCATCATCATCATCATCATCATCATCACCATCATAATCAACACAATCCTCATCAATTTCATCAACCGAAATATCATCAATAACATCGCCATTATCATCGTCATCCTAACTATTATCATAATCATCATCATCATCATCATCGACATCATCATCATCATCATCGTCATCATCAATATATTCATCATCATCATCATCATCATGGTTCATCGCGTACATCATGAACGACAACAACATCCTTATCATTATCATCGACATCATCATCATTATCGACATAATCATCATCAAGATCAACATCATCATGAACATCATCATTATCATCATAATCATCATATTCATCATAATCATCAACATCGTGAACATCATCTGCATGAACCTCATCAATATCATCGTCATCGTTGTAATCACCATCATCATCAACATCTACATCATCATCATTTTCAAAAAAATCATTATCATCATCATCATCATCATCATCAGGATCATCATTGACATCATCATCATTGTCGTCATTTTCAGCATCATCTTCATCACAACCAGCATCAACTTCTTAAACATCATCATCATCATCATCATCAACAACATCATCATCAACATCATCAACATGATCAGAAGAACCTTCAACATCATCATCATCATCGTCATCATCATCATCATCATCACCATCATAATGATCATAATCATCATCAATTTCATCAACTGAAATATCATCAATAACATCGCCATTATCATCGTCATCCTAACTATTATCATAATCATCATCATCATCATCGACATCATCATCATCATCATCGTCATCATCAATATCTTCATCATCATCATCATGGTTCATCGCGTACATCATGAACAACAACATCATCATTATCATCATCATCGACATCATCATCATTATCGACATATTCATCATCAAGATCAACATCATCATGAACATCATCATTATCATCATATTCATCATATTCATCATAATCATCAACATCGTGAACATCACCTTCATGAACCTCATCAATATCATCGTCATCGTTGTAATCACCATCAACATCAACAGCGACATCATCATCGTTTTCAAAAAAATCATTATCATCATCATCATCATCAGGATCATCATTGACATCATCATCATTGTCGTCATTTTCAGCATCATCTTCATCACAACCGGCATCAACTTCCTAAACATCATCATCATAATCATCATCATCATCATCAACATCATCAACATGATCATTAGAAACTTCAACATCATCGTCATCATCATCATCATCATCATCATCATCATATCCATCATCATCATCATACTCAACCTTAACATCGTCTCCATCATCATCATCATCATCAGAATCATGATCATGAAAACCATCGTGAACATCATCATCATCATAACCATTATCATCATCATCATCAGCCTCATCACCATCATCATCATCATCGTCGTCATCATATCCATCATCATCATCATCATCACCATCATCATCATCATCATCGTCATCATCATCATCAGCCTCATCATCATCATCATCTTCATCATCATCGGCGTCATCATATCCATCATCGTCATCATCGCCATCATCATCATCATCATCATCATCATCATCATCATCATCATCATCATCATCCTCGTAATATTCATCATCATCATCATCATCCTCGTAATATTCATCGTCATCTTCATCATCACCAGCCTCATCTTCATCAACATCATCATCAAAATCATGATAAACATCATCAGCATCTTTATTATCATCATCATCCCCATCTTCATCATGAGTATTATGTTCATCTTTTTTATCATCACCATGCTCATCAACGTAATCATTATGACCAGCAACACGTACAACATTATCATCATCATCATCTTCATCACCATCATGATCATGATCATCATCGAAAATTATATAGTCAACGTCATCATTATTTTCATCATTGACATCATCTTCAATAAAATCATCATCATCATCATCATTATCATCATCATCATCATCATAAAAATCATCATTATCATTAACGTCAGCATAATGATCATCAGCATCATCATCAACTTATTCATCATCATCATCACGATCATCATCGTCATAATCATCATCATCAGTATCACAATTTACATCATCGTATACATTTTCATCATCAACCTGATCATCATAATCATGATGCATTATCATAAACATTACCATTATTTTCAATACGAATATCATTACCATCACCATCAGCTAATCTACCGTTAACATCATCATCAACACGATCATCATCATCATTGTCATCATCATCATCATTCATCACGTACATCATGTATAACGACATCATCATTGTCATCATCATCAACATCATTATCATCTTCATTGTCATCATCAACGCCATCAACAACATCATCATCATAATAACCATCATTATAATCCTAATCATCAACAACTTCATCATCATCATCATCATCATCATCATCATCATCATCACCTTCATCAACGTCATAATCATAATTATCATCATCATCATCATCATTTTCATCATCATCGTCGTCATCTTTATAATCTTCATCTTCATCATCATCATCGTCATCACCATCATCCTCATCATCATCACCAACATCTACATCAACATCGTCATCATCTTCATCATCATATTCATCATCATGATCATCATCGTCATCATCATCATCATCATCATCATCGTCATCACCATCATCCTCATCATCATCACCAACATCTACATCAACATCGTCATCATCATCATCATCATCATCATCACCATCGTCATCATTTTAATTATGTACCTCATCATCATCGTTATCATTCATCATCAACATCATCAAATTCATCATCGTCATCATCAGCATTAGCACCCCAATCATCATAATCCTTATCATAGTCATCATCATCATTTGTGTCATCATCATCATGATCATCATCCTCATCATAATCATCATCAAAATAAACATTATCATCGTCGTCATTATCATCATCATCATCATCATCATCATCATCATCATCATCATCATCATCATCATCATCATCATCACCATCAGCATCATCATCAACATCATAAACACCATCATAGTCAACGTCATCATCATCATTATCATCAACCGAAAAATCATCATCACAATCATCGTCGTCGTCATCATCATCTGCATCATCATCGTCATTATTTTCATCATCAACATTATCACAAACAAGTCCATCGTAATCGTTATCACAATCAATACAATCCTCATCATCATCGTCACCATGATTATCGTCAACATTAACATTGTATTCATTATGGTAATCATTACCATCCTCATCATCACATGCATCATTGTCATCCAT